AGAAAAATAGCAAAAAAGTAAAAAAATTAGACAATTATGATATCGATAGAGTAAAAAAAGAAATAGAATATAGCGAGAGAGAGAAAGAGATAAATAGAGATAGATAGAAAGAGAATGAAGGAGAGAACGAGATTAATGGGATAAGTAGAGAGATGGTGTAGAACAGAACAAAACAAAGATAGATAAAGAGAGGTAAAGAGAGAAAGAGGAAAGAGAGAGAGAGAGAGAGAGAGAGAGAGAGAGAATTTGCCATTGAAATTAAAGTGAATTAGTAATATTAATAGATGAAGCGTGATGCGCTAACGAATGAAAATTAAACAACTTCTCCTTTTTTACTAATGTTATATCGCTGCAATCATCATCGTATCACATCATTAATGAAATTTTACATCATATTTCCCACCACCATATCATCATCATCATCTTCTTCTTCTTCTTCATCGTCAACCTGGCACAACAAAAATTATTCCTAACAAGCAAGCCAAGCAGTGAAGAAGAAGCAACAGACACATAAACAAGGGAACCCGACAAACAAAAAATAACCAATTCATCTGTCCAAGCGCACACAACAAAAGTGAGGAAAAGTATAGAAGAACTATTGGAGAAAAAGAAAATAGAAAGAAGCCGACATTAAGATAGGTACGTGTGTATATAAAAACAAAAAGATTAATTATTTATTTACAGACATACAATACGACACATAGAAACAAGTAGACATACAGAGACACAAAGAAAAATAGAAACTTACAGATAGACGAATAGAAACAGCTAAACAGACACAGCCAAACAGGCAGACAGCAAAACAGACAGACAAACAGACAGACAAATTAACGGATGGATGGTTGATTACTTACTCTAATTTGCTAATTCTTCGAATCGGGGCTTATGACGAAATAGTAAATCTCGTCTGCTGACCCCACGACCCCGTGCTGTCATTAATCTCTTGAGCTGGTTGCTTGAAATATGTCTTTCTTAACGGAGAACTTAGAGGTACTCAGTATAACGCAAGCATATACATAGAAAGAAAGAGAGAAAAAGTTAAAACATGATGAGAGAGAAAGAGAGACAGAAACCAAAAACAAAAAGACAAAAACAAAGACAGAGGAACAAAAGAAAAGATAATAAGAGTGGGTAGAAACAATAAATAATTAGAGAGACAAGAGGAAATTTTCTTTAAAGAGTAGAATCCAATTTGAAAGACACGGTTTGAATTGCTTGTCATAATTTATTTATCCTGATTCGTTTTTGCTAAATATTTAGTTAATTAACTTTTTAATCTACCAATTAATTAATTAATTAATTAATTAATTAATGATTTATTGACCGGCTTTCAATTTATTATTACAAATTAACTCTTAGCATTAAATAACAACGCAACTTATCATGTGCATACGTTTGAATAGCTTTTATTAAAGAAATATATACCTATATTTCTCGTTAATTATATTATTCATTAATTATATATATATATATATATATAAATGAATAATTAATTAATAAACATTTCACAAGACTTTTACAATAAAGTTAGATTGTATAATTATTTGATATCGAGACATTCTAATAGCATATAGTGTGTGTGTGTCTTTGTGTGTGTTTCATTGTGTATATGCGTGTTATGTGTGTCTGTGTGTGTGTGTGTGTGTGTGTGTGTGTGTGTGTGTGTGTGTGTGTGTGTGTGTGTGTAAAAGATATATAATACGATCTATTATAACAGCAGCGCCAGCAGTGAAAACGGTAAATCATGATTTTAATAACAGTAATAATTTTTAATTTTAAACAATTTAATTTAAAATAAATAACAATTTTTTTTTGATGGAACAACATGTTTACTGATTGACTAGGATGTTATATCATGAAAACAAAGATTACAGATTGTCCTGACTGATATTGATAGAGAGAGAGAAAAAGAGAGAGAGAGGGAGAGAAAAGAGATAAAAAGAGAGAGAGAGAGAGAGAGAGAGACAGACAGAGATGATGAAGATGATGCTTTTTTTGTTGTTTTTGCTGTTGATGATAATGATGTTAATGACGATAATGATGAGAGGGCAATGTGTGTGTGACAACGACGAAATATTGATCACGATGTTGATGATGATGGGGGCTGTAAGCATTACTCAAATATTCTACCGCCAGTGCCGAAATCGAAACCGCTTTGGAATGTTTTGCCGGGAGAAACCAATAACGATACGTAGTTTTTTTAAAAGTATTGCCAGACAAACATGCGAAAAATTGAAGTGATCGATGAGAAAAATGTATCCAACAAAGTTTCAAAAGTATCGAGTAATGAAAGTATCGAGTAATGAATTTTTAAAGTATCGAGTAATGAATTTTTAAAGTATCGAGTAATGAATTTTTAAAGTATCGAGTAATGAATTTTTAAAGTATCGAGTAATGAATTTTTAAAGTATCGAGTAATGAATTTTTAAAGTATCGAGTAATGAATTTTTAAAGTATCGAGTAATGAATTTTTAAAGTATCGAGTAATGAATTTTTAAAGTATCGAGTAATGAATTTAAAGTATCGGCGATATCAAAGCCAAATCTGGAAAAGTGGCCATAGCTATACTTCGATATTAACAGCCCTGATTATGATGATGATGATGAGGATGGCGATGATGATGATGATGAGTGTTGGTCTGAAAAGAGCTGATGAGTTCTAAAACAATTTGACGTTGGCGAATGCAGTTCGAACGTGATGCAAACTTAGACGGATGGTTAACTCGTTTCAAATGATGGAACTAAGACAGGTAATAGAATAATGATAACGAGAATGATGAAAAGATGACGATGATGATAAACTAAATGTCAGTGGCCATGATGATAAATAACACGGACGATGATGGCAGAGACAGAAAAAACATTGTCAACTCAAACGTCAAAACTTTTGCTGTAAGTAACATTTATAGCTTGCGATGACGTTGGTGATGACGTTGATGTGGTTGTTTTTGTTGATGTCATTAATGTTGTTGTTGTTGTTACATTTGTTATCATTGGACGGTTGAATAGCGTGTGATAGTCTTTCATGTTTATACTCATGTTATCACCAATGCCTAACCCATCTCTCTGCATCATCATCGTCATCATCCCATCGTCGTCGTCTTCTTCGCCACAATCATCATTGTTAACATCATCACCATCATCTTTAGGATCATTACTAATAGTGCTACTGTTGCTTATGTTGTTGGCGCCTTTATGCACAACACGTTTGCTACTGGAGAAATGAGATGACGACAAGATGTCAAGGTTATTGTAGTTGTATTGAGTTTTATTGTCGTTGTTGTTGTTGGAATCATCATAATCATAATTTTCGCAACATTCGACCGGTTCTATGTTGTGTATGATGTTCATGGACTCGTCGAATCGCAATGTTGATGGCCGTGTTGTTGCTGTTGTTGCTGGCTTTGTTGAGTAGTGTTGTTGTTGTTGGCGATGTTGTTGTTGGTTAAAATACTGTTGATGTTGTAGTAGATTATGCTGTATCTGATAGTTTTGTTGTTGCTGATGATGCTGTGATTGTTGAAATTTTTGTTGGTTTGTTGTTTTTATACAAGGTTGTTGTAGTTGGTGTTGCTGAATATAAAATTGTTGTTGTTGCAGTAGTAAATTTTGTTGTTGAATTTGTGGTTGTTGACTGATTTGTTGTTGTTGTTGTTGTTGTATTGGTTGTTGCTGAGCACTTCTTGGACGTTGCAGGTGGTAATGATGTTGATGGTGGTACAAATTATATTGATGTTGGTGCTCTTGCAATCGTTTTTTCGGATTTCCTAGTGTCTGTTGCAGCGATTTCTGCTGCAGATGTTGCTGCTGATGTTGTTGTTGCTGAAACTGTTGCAATGAAATATATTTAAGTTGTTGGGATGATTTATTGAACAACAATTTTTCTTGGGAAGAAGCATTTTCGTTGTTGTTGACGAGAGTCTCACAGTAACATTTATGTTGAACGTGTTGCTGAGACTTGTTGCTGAATGGTCTTAACGTTGTTGATGTTGTCGCAGTGCTGTTGGCAAATGTCATCGGGCAGAATTTATTAAAATTTATCGAATGGGCAGGCTTTAATGTCTGCGATGTTGTGTAGTAACAAGGTTGGATGTGCAAGTTGTTGTTGTTGTCGGCGTTCACTGTTCGTTGTTGCTGCTTGTTCAAATTTGTTGCGAAATCATGTTGTTGTTGAAAATAATCTATATTATTTGTTGTTTTTGTTGCTGTTGTTGTTGTTATTGGAGGTGAGGGAAATTGTTGTTGTTGTTGAGTATCGTCGGAATGTTTAATTGGGAGAATGCTCATTGAACTCAGTTGCGTATTATGCTGTGTATTTTGTTGGTATTCCGGATACTTCCAGAAGTTTCCTCTGGCTGGCGGGGGCGGGGGTAGTATCAACTTTTTGCTGGAAGCTGATTGGCTGCTTGGCGGAGGGTTGCTAATGAGGTCGAATTGGATGAAATTGTTGTTACTGTTGTTGTTGTTGTTGTTGTCGTTAAAGTGAAACTTTCTGTTAGAGGATATTGTTCTGCCAGGCTTGCTCCAAGAAAGCGCCTAATTTTTTTTTCATGTTTTTTTCATTTTTTTTAAAATTATTGTAGTTTTGTTGAAATTATCAAATTATATTATATAAAAATCAAACAAAATTAATCGTTTAAGAACTAAATAATATAAATTCGCGATTAAATTGATCTATGAAACAAAAATCCAGTTTTCAAAAAAGCTATCACTTATTTTAAAAATTTATTAAAATCAATTCAAAATTCTTATTCTTTTCAATTAGTAAACTTGAAATATTTTATAAAAATTTTTTTAAAAAATCTTTTTGCCTAAATCCATAAAACCTATTACTGTATGAATGTTTAGTCTATCTTTTGTAAGCCACTTACATTTTATTTTAATCAGCTTTAATATTTGTCTATAAGCACACATAGAAAAACTAGGAATGGGACGAAATGGGACTGATCTAAAAAATCCGGATTTGTGGTATCAAACAAAAAAATTTATAAACAAACACACAAACATAAACAAACACACACAAACATATATACAAACACACACAAACATAAATACAGACACAGACAAACATAAACAACCGCATTCATATTCTCCTCATCATAATTTATTCAACAGGGTGATCCGGACTTTTTCTCGCCATTTGCATTTTATCTGATGATATTGACGTCAGCGTGCAAATTGGGATCAAAGAACGACCGCGTGACCGCGTGACCACGTGACCAGGCTAGCGCCGGGGTCATGTGATGCTTGGCATGCCAAACGGCTTTGCAAGCGTAAATAACGGAAACAGTGGTAACGTAAGTAACGTCAGCAGCAATAATGACGTCACAACAACGTGAATAACAACAAGAATAGTAATAATGATGTCACTGATAACAACAACAACAACAATAACATTAATTGCAACAACAACAACAACAGCAACAATAAAATTAATTGCATCAACTACAACAACAACATCATCAAAGGCAAACACATTAACACACAACAACAACAGCAGAGTTTACTTAAAATTATTTGTGACTTCTTGAATTTTGCATCGTTTCAATCATTTTAGTTTTATGGTTTTAATTAAACTATTAAAGTGATTTAAACAGTAAACGCAATTGTTCAGGAATAAATCAATGTCGTTGTTAACATCAGTAAAAAATGCCTAAAAAATATCAACAACAACAACAAAATAAAAATAAAAAACAACATCAAATCTACTAACATATTTATCTCCGTCTCTTGGAGTCATTAGTACCATTCCGTCGTCGTCATCACCGTCATCAGCAACATCACATAATGCATCTTCATCCCTATTAAGAACATCTCCGTTGTTTTCATCTTCATCATCCTCCTCACCGTCACATCCGCAATTATCGCTCTCTCTATTTTCTCCTTTTCCTCTTCCATATGTGCCGGATAGATCACGTGATTTTTGTATTTCCGGTCCCGCTGATAATGACAATTTAGTGTTTTCGTGATCGCTTCTGTTATCAGTCTTGTTGCTAATGTTTGGAACACTGTTTCCGATGTTGCTATCATTGTCTTTGATGTAATAATTGTTGTTGTTGTTGTCGTTGGAGTTATTTATTTTATGTTTTTCTTTGTTGTTGTTGTTGTTATTAGAACTGTTTCCAACAAAACCCATCTTTTTCTCACAAACCTTTCCACTCGACTCCTTGCAACCAGCCGAGGAGTTTATTTTATTCTTATCATTATAATTAGCAGCAGCACCGTCACTCCTATTGCCAGAATTACCTTCAACATTTGGACAGCCACTATTGTTATGCAGGCCAATGAGGTCACCGTTAAATTTCTGGAGACCACCGATTCTTCTCTTCCTCAGCTCTCTTTTCCTTACTACCACAACAGCCACAACCACACACGAAACAACGAAAACGCAGCCACCGACGACCGCTAAAATTAAATAGAGTAATATTCCGCCGATTTCTTTGATGACTCCGTAGTTTTTTGAGCTGTTTTTTTGGGCTGAAATAGTTTGGGACCGGAGTGGTGGTGGTGGGATTGTTGAGTTGATTATTAAAAATAGGATTGCCAGAGATGTGTGTTGTTGTTGCTGTTGTTGTTGGGTTAGTTGTTGGGTGTTGTTTTTGTTGTTGTTGTTGTTGTTTATGTTTATAGATGGCGCGTGTGTGTTGTTGATTTGGTTCAAATCCTTGGAAATATTTTCAACACCAGTGTCATATTTGTCGCTGGTTGCGTTCATGGAAAATGTGCTGTTTTTAATGTTGTTGCGGATGTTGTTGTTGTTGTTAGTGCTACCGATGTTGTTATTGTTGTTGTTGTTGACGAAGTTGCCGTTAGCGATGGTGGGGTTGGTGACTTTGACCACGATGCAAATGACTCTGTTGATGTAACTTTTGTGGTCCAATCTATCAAGCGACATTATCAATCCGTTGTTGGACTGTATGCGAAATAAGTTGCTTTTGTTGGCGGTGACGTCATTGTTGTTGCTTAAGTCGTTGTTGATGTTGTCGTTGTTGATGTTGTTGTTGGCGTTGTTCTGTTGTAAAATAGATGTCTGCAATTTTTCAAAAATTGCGTTAGTATTGTTTGCTGCCGTTGTTGTTCTTTTAGTTGTTAAAAATTGCTGGGAATAAATATTGCTGCTGTTGTTGTTGTTGATGCTGTTGTTGTTGATGTTGCTGTTGTTGTTGATGTTGCTGTTGTTGTCGATGCTGTGGTGGTTGTTGTGGTTGGGGGGCGGTGTTGAAGCAATGGGGGAAAAATGCGAGTGTCTTGGAGGGAGAAAATTTGCATAGTCGGAAATATTAGATGCTAAAAAAGTCGATGACGTGATTGTAACGAAAGATTTTGTTGCTGATTTTGTTGTGGTTGGCGTTTTCGCAAGTAAAATTTTTGTTGATGTTGTTGTTAATGGCGACGTTTTTATCACGGTTACTGATTTCACAGAATCGCTCGTAGTATTTGTATTTGTTGTTGTTATTTTTGGCAACACTTGTTGATGTTGATGTTGTTGTTGTTGTTGTTGATGTTGCTGACTCCTAGACATTATCTCATATACCACTATCCTTGCAACATCAACATCTTCAAAAACTCCCACTTCCTCCATGCTAAAAAGCAGACGATTGTACTCGACACTGGCGTCTAAATCTCGCGCCACGATCTGCACCACGTGACCTCCAACCGGAAGTTGCGAACTCACGTGATGCGTGTCATTTCCGGCAGACGGAAAAAGTATTTCCGGTTGGTTGTCATTCAAGTCCAGAATTTCTATCATTAGGTCTGATGTGCCTGACATTGATTGAGATTTTATATCTTTCGCCACCACGACCAGTCTGTATTTACCTGAGAAGATTTGTAATAAATTAATTGTTTGTTTGCTTGTTCGTTTGTTCGTTCGTTCGTTTTTTTGTTTGTTTGTTTGTTTATATATTTAATTATTTTCAATTTTTTTAAGTAAAACTAAGTAATAAAATGTATTTTAAGTTTTCTTTTCTAAACTTAATAAACTTAAACTAAACTTAAACTTAAACTAAAACCTAACCCTAAACTTAATAGTAAAAATGCTTAACTTAATGAAATGGCAATAATATTTTACTGGAATGATTTTTCATCGTGAACTCTATTAATTCATTGATACGATGGAATGTCCAGATGTCATTTCATTTATAAATTAATCTTAAAATAAATACAACAACAACTACTGCTACGACTACCACTAATAGTAATAATAATAATAATAATAATAATAATAATAATATTAATAATAATAATAAAAGTACCTTGAAGGACCTCTCTATCTAGAACTTGTCTCGTCGTAATCATCCCAGTTTGAGGCTGGATGGCGAACAGATCCGCAGCAACTGTTTATTATTATTATTATTATTATTTAAATATTTATTTATTATCATTAAATATTTTTACTATTAGTATTATTACTGTTACTTAGTTTTCTAGATGAGTTTCTCAATGAACTCTATCACGATCATCCTGCCTTCTTATCATTATTATATTTTGGGGCAAATTTAAATATTGTACCGTAGAGTTTGTTTATGCTTTATTAACCTCTACTCTACATGCTTGATTCAATCGTTCTATGTTGTTGTCGTTGATGATGATGATAATGATGGTAAAGATGGCGAGAATTATGATGACGATTGCAATAATGATGATAATGATGATGAAGACTGCAGCAATAATGACCACGGTGATGATGATGATGACGACGATGGAGATGAAGACGACGATGATGACGACGAAAAAATGACTAGAGACAGGCTGATGACGTGAACTTGACGTAGATCATGGTTTATTAAATTTATTTTAAAATATTTCCTGAACTTTTATTTTTCGCTTGTTTAGTGCTGCTAGGTGCCAGAGATTTTTGAAACATTTTTTTTTCAAAATTTACGTTTTGGTTTAAAAATTCAAGCTTTTTGCGAATAAATATTAAAATCTTAAAATAAATGAATAAACGAACGAACGAATGATCGATTAAACGAACGAAGGATCGAACGAATGAATGAATGAAAATTATTGGCTCATAACCTTCAAATATTTTTTTAATATTTTAAAAGAAATAAATTATATACATAAGTATTTGAATGGTTATTTCCAAACGAAAAAAAAATTTCTTATTGATAATAAATACAGTAGAAACACTTGAACGAGCTCGTTTTGATGGTTTCTATTGATATTAATGTTTTTAATGATTGCTATCTTGTTGTTGTATTGTTGTTGTTGATGCTGTTGTGTTGTTGTTGATGTTGTTATTGTAGTTGGTTATTATTTACGCAATAGAATATAATTTTTTACTTTATTGTTGATGAAATTGTTATTTTTGGAAATAAATTTCATTCATAGTTTTCACCGAAATAACCAACCACCATCATCATACTCTTCCAGGACGTAAATGAACAAATTGTTTGGTGGACCATCGCGATCAGTGGCCACAACTTCGCCGACAAAGGTTCCACTCGGCTGATTCTCAAGAACTCGCATCCAGTAGCGATCCTTCTCAAATGTTGGTTTTTCATCGTTCTCATCTTCTACCGTAATGTACACGGTGGTAGTACCTTGAGGTGGGTTATGTTATTTTGACTTGTATGGTTTAGTTAATCAAACAACTATTTGACTGATTGACTGACTGACCAACCAACCATCCAATCAATAAACCAGCCGGCCAACCAACCAACCATGAAACCAACCAACCATAAAACCAATCAGCCATAAAACCAACCAACCATAAAACCAACCAACCATAAAACCAACTAACCAACCAACCATAAAACCAACCATAAAACCAACAAATCAACCAGCTAACTATTCAACTTACCAACCCACTAACCCGTTTTTTGTGGACTACCCCCGTCGAGAGCCAGCAGTGGAAACTGATAGAAATCCATCACCTCCCTATCCAAACTCACCCTAGCAGTCACCAATCCATTTTCATCCACGTTGAAAACTTCGGACGCGTTGCCTTCTATTGAATAAGTCACGTGGCCTGTTTCATAACAATAATAATAATA